TGCGATCGCGTGCCTCACCCCGAGCGTCATGATCATGCGACAGGTGCCGTTGCCCTCGCCGCGTGCGCTCCCCGCACTCATGGCGCCCTCCGCCCGCGCCGCGGGCGCGCGCGCGCGCGCCTTGCCTCGCGCCGCACGGCACCGCGGCGGCGCTTGCTTGCAGTTGGCAGGCCAGCGCCGACGCCGCGCCGGCGAGACCCCACTTGCGGAGCTCCGGCATCTCCCCCTTTACCGAGATGTGTGCTCTATCGATTTCGGCGAGGCCCTCGTTGGCCTCGAAGGTCCGGAGCAGCAGGAGGAGAAAGCGGGGGAGGAGGAAATGCAGCAGGAGGAGAAACCGAGAAACGGGGGGATTTCAGCGTGGGGTGTTGGCTCGACAGCTCTCTTGTCCGTCCTGCCTTGCGCGCCTCGCACCTCGGCTCACGTCATCCGTCGCCCCTCCCTCGCTCATCCCACCGACCCTCGGTTGGCTGGCGTCCTTTTAGCTGTGGTCCTTCTTCTCATTCAGCTTCCGACGAGGCCTTCTGCAGCGGAGACGTCCTCGAGTTCGCTCAGCGGGCCGTGCTGGTCACGTTCCTTGTCCAAGATCACATCTACTGGCTCCTGAAGGCCCAGGGGGGGGTAAAGCCTCTACTCCCCTTTCCTGCTCCATCCCCGCTTTCCCTCCCGCCCCACTTTCAGGAAGAGGAGGAGGAGGGGGGCGGGGGAATGAGGCGCGGGATTAGGACTACGATGGCCATGACAATGATGACGATGACGGCGACGCCGATTGTCATGATGACGATGCTGATGATCATGGCGATGTTGACGATGACGATGACGCTGACGATGCTGACGATGGTGGTGCTGATGATTGCTACACTTATGACGGCGCAGAGGAATATGTATGATGCTCATGGTGGTGGCGGTTATGATGAGGATGGTGGAAGTGGTGTTGACGAGGACGATGGTGATGTTAGTGGTAGTGAGGATGATTGAGGGGATTCTGATACTGTTGATGGTGGTGGTGATGGTGGTGGTGGTGAGGAGGAGGAACATACAAGAGGACAGACAGGAAGGCGATGATGAGGCTGATAATGACCATGCTGGTGATAGTGATGATGATGGGGTGATGGTGATGGTGACGGTGGGGACGATGATAATGATGATTCTGATGATGCGGACGGTCTTGATGTTGCGGAGGATGATGTTGTTGGTGGCGATGGTGATGATGATGATGATGATGATGATGATGATGATTATGCAGTTGATGATGATGACGATGATGACGATGATGCTGACGATTCTGCTGCTGATGATGAGGAGGAGGAGGATGCTCATGATGATGACGATGATGGGGATGTTAACGATGATAGCGATGATACTGATGATGCTGATGATGATGCTGATGAGTTCGGATACTGATGATGTTTGAATAATGGTAATGGCGATGATGCTGATGCTGATGATGCTGCTGCTGATGGTTATGCTGCTGATGATGATGACGATGGTGATGGCGATGATGCTGGTGGTCGTGGTGATGATGATGATATGTGTGATGATGATGATGACGAGGAGGAGGATGAGGATGAGGTTGAGGTTGATGATGCGGATTAGGATGAGGACGATCATGATGATGGTCATTGTGATGCTGATGATGTTGATGATGCTGATAATGCTGATGACGAGGCTGAGCATGATGATGATGATGATGGTGATGATGCTGATTATGATGATGATGATGCTGCTGATGATTCTGATTGTGATTCTCTGTATTGGTGTGCTGATGATGACGATGCTGATTATGATGCTGATGCTGATGCTGATGAGGGTGATGATGCTGCTGATGATGATGACGATGATGATGCTGATGATGATGATGACGATGATGATGCTGATGATGACGATGATGATGACGATGATGATGCTGATGATGCTGATGATGATGCTGCTGCTGATGATGATGACGATGATGATGCTGCTGCTGATGATGACGATCATGAATGATGATGACGATGATGACGATGATGATGCTGGTGATGCTGATGATGCTGATGATGATGTTGATGTTGATGTTGATGTTGATGATGATGATGATGATGATGATGATGATGATGATGATGATGATGGTGATGAAGAAGATGACGAGGGCCATCAGGAGGGCAGGCAGGAGGATGCGACGAAGGACAGTGAACAGGCAGGAGGACGTGGAGGAGGACGTGGAGGAGGACTGGGACGGACTGCAGGAGGAGGATGAGGGGGAGGATGTCTATGTGGGGGAGTAGGAGGAAGATGAGAAGGGGGGGGAGGCGGAGCATGAGGGGGAGAAGGTGCTCGCTGGAGTATACAGTTCTGGTCTTTCGCAAGTTGCAGTCCATGTTCTATCCGAGCGCTATTTTGCTGCATCATGCTGCATTGCCGGATGCAGACAGGTGCACTCTTTTGAACAATACGTCAAGCAGTTTGCATCAGTCAACACTCGGATTTTGCTGTCTTTTTGACAGCCCTCTGCTTTCGCTGC